TTCACGTGGCAGGCGATAGCATCATTACACGGCCTCAGCGTCCGTCTCAAGCTTCACAACACATCTCAACATGTTACCAAAAAAAGAGTGCAGACTACTATAGTGGAACAGCGTAAGTCTAAGCGATGGGCAAAAAGAGCAGGACAAAAAGAATCGCAAAAAGATCGTTTTCTTCCGGTACCGGGAATCGAACCCGGCTCTCGTCGGAAGCTGACACAATTGACTCATGAAAGCGACGGATGCTAGCCGATACACCATACCGGACTTTGATGGAGTGTTGGTGAGCATGTTATCCTATGATGTAATTGTGAGCCCACAGAGCAGTTTTGAGCCTCCAACTCCAATGGGGCTATGTGCCCACTCACAGACAGGTTCACCTTGGCATGCGCTAGCTGCACTAGCGAGCTAATGTCCCAGTGTCTTAGACGTAGGTCCACAAACACCGTCGCCGGCTGGCATACAACCATTCATCATGCCACAAGAGACAGTCAGATCAGACAGTCCTTTAGGTGGAGTTCCGTATATGGCACACAATACGAGCAACATGTTGCGCAGCCTTCTTTCGGCTGACTCCAACGATTGTCGGTTGAAGTGGCGTTCGCCGGAGGCTCGGTGCCTGCAGGTTTCGTCGGAGGGCTTAGCAAACTTCAGCGTTCCGCCCGCGATTATGTAGAACCCAGCATCACCATCAGATGTCGCAATTATTCATTGCGGGGTCGCGCACCACGCCGCATCCAACACTCTGCAACGGATTATTGCGACACCTGGTGCCACCCCACTTCAACGAAGAATAGCACGCGTTCTTAGGTACCATAGGTCGATAATCTGCCCACACCAAGGGTCGGAGTAACTCATGTCGCATTGTGTGAGAAAATTTTCAACGATAGAAGTATACATTGCCTTAGAAACTATGCATTTGCTAATGTTCAATAGTATGTATACTGCAAACGGCAAACTCCGACATCAATTCGAGCCACCCGTGTGGTGCATACCTGTGTTCCCGCGATGTATCGTGCCGCAACATGAAATCCAGCGTTTGACCGTCGTGGGGAGCCTTTGTGGTGAAGGTGGGGTAATGTAGATGCAGATGCCCCATAGAGGTTGTATAGCCTGATGGTGAGACGATATGGGATTCTAGCATGCCGCTTCGCCTCGCCTCTTCCTTCTGGAATGCTTGGAACAGCTCGGCCTTTTCTTGAGCGCCTCGACCTCGTATGCTCTCTTCGTCCGTTCTCTTTCTGTGGACGAAGACAGCGATGATGTCAAGATGAGCGACAAGAGCACCGAGGATCACGCCAATCTAGATTGCGCTACGTACATGGAATCTTGGTCGTTCGCGAAGAGCTTGGTATCATATGAAAGCTTCAAAGAGTTCCTAAAGTTTTGGGAACCTTTGCTGACGTCGATCGAAGATTTGAACGCTTCGTTTTCATCATGAATCTCGTCACAGATCACATGTATACAGTTACAAACACCAGCTATTCGAATGGATTTGCATAACTCATATCAGTTCAATGGCTAGACTCGTTTTGTGATGCGGTCGTTCCGCAAACTATAATGTCGAAAACATAGATAGCAATAAACAGATTGGATGGGATAGGGCCCAGAGAGTGATAACATCCGCGTTGCCCGTTTCTTCCTTTGCCTAGTACATCCCGATAACCCCTGCTCAAGGTCAACGACTGAGACAGTGCTTTCGGGCTAGTCCTGTAACGTGCTACGAGGTGCGCGAAACTTCATTGCTTAGTTGATAGCGATAGAGTACGCCGTCGTAGTCATCTTCGCGTTGCTACCAGTGAAGACCTCCGTGCCCGCCTGCACAACCTGCAAGTACAAACTACTCGTGAAACCATTGCTCCCGTAGTTCGCCAACAAGTACTGGAAGAAAAGATTCTGCATCAACATATTAGTTTCTTTATCATCACCACAAAGTAGACCCATGCAACGTACCAAGTCGGCGCTGAAGTTCGTCGCCCGACCTCCACGAGCAACAAAACTGTATACCTTGACAGAACCGTTGAGACCGTATGCGAGGTCGAAGATCTGACCGCCGATAGTGACGGTGGCGATGGGTGTGAAGGGGTATCCGTTCGCGGACAAGGGTGATACGCCGCCGTAGACACCTAGCCAGACCATGACTTCGAAGAGGTTGGTACCGCTGGCTGATGCGCCGAGGAAGGTGTCGTACGCCACTGCAGTTATCATATCAAGGTTAGCCTACATATCCCCGAGACGAAGAGAGTGCACGAGACAGGGCGGAAGTAACATACCATTAACCCGCAAATCGGTTCCAGTATAACTCCACTTCCAAGTCGTCGGCATACTTGTATAAGTGCCGATTTGCTTCTTGGTGAAGCCTGTTTCGACGTTCGTGTAGCTCTTGACTTGGTTGGGAGTGCCAGACCATGACCATGTTGTTGACCAGGCTAGCCCAGCTGTGCTGCTATAGCTATCGATTTGAGAACACTGAGATCCGGTTCCGGAGGAGAAGCCCCATCCATTGGTGTAGAGAGTGTATGGGCCGGAGGACTGAGATTGGTATTGGCCACACTGAGCGGCGCGGGGTAGGAGGATAGCGGGTGCGGCGAGCGCAGTTGAAGAGAGGAGAAGAAGAGCGGCAGTGGAGAACAACATGCTGAGCGATGGATTAGTCGGAGCTGTGGTGAGTTGCTGATAGATGAGTTGGATATGAAGCAGGTGCGGGTGTCTTATGTACTTTTCTAGGTGCTCTGATCGTCCATCTCTTACGATGTCGCCTCCACATCCTACAAGCGACCACTCCTCTTCGCAACAACTTGTCACATTTGGATGCTCCGCCCTTCCGTTTACCTGTCTTCTACTAGTCGTTACGGCGTATGACCCACAACCCGACATCGCAGACACGCGTAGATCCTTCCATGAACCAGCGACCAACCATACTCATCAACACTTCCTTAACTCTCGCTGAAGTCCGCAAGCCACTGCAGGATTATATGCCCACCGGATACCATCTTTCCATCGAAGAGGAAGTTCTGAAAGCCAGTGTAAGCCATAGTCATGCACGACATCAGCCGGTCCAATCATTAGCAGTCAGGGTCCACCAATATAGCTCGCATGCTGCACGCGCGGGACGAACCACGATTCAAGGATCGAGACCGGACTTGATAAACCTGGTTTTGGGAACGGAGGTGCTACAGATGCGGACCGAAAGACCAATGGGTGCCATGTAGAGGAAGGTCGAGAAGCATGCATGCATCGGCGGCGTCAACGTTGTGGGCGAATTGGACTATTGGATCCCGGGTTGCCCTATCAGATGGTGTGATCGAATGAGGGGATAGCGAGAGCATACTAGCGCTGCTGAGGAATGGGTGAGGGATCGTGCTCTAGCTTCCCCTTTGACATCGCAAGCGCTGTGGAGCTAAAGTGATGATCACGTTCTACATCCACAGTGTGTAGAAGGACGTCTGAGCTACGGATGTGATCAGCCCTCCCAAGCCCTGTGATGCACCGACAGTTGCCACTCTCCCCGAGCCTGTGAAGCAGCATCCCCTCTACCTCATGGCTTCGGCGGTACCGCGAAGAGATCTGCGCGGTGCGGAAAGCTCTCGTGAACAAATCCAGCCCAGCCCGAAGAAGGTGAATGACACGCAAGTCTCGCCGAAGAGACGAACACACATGTGCTCGAACCGGACACCATTATCTAGCTCTTTCGTACGCTGCGCCGCAGCATGTTTGCTCGCCGCACTAAACCAGGAAGGCTAAGCTCTTTCTCAAGGCTGCAACGTGGAGCTTGTTGATCCTCGGCGCGTCTGAAATCTGGATATAACATACCATTGCAAACAAGTTAGAGGAAGTGAGCGCTGTATCCTTTCCTGAGCTTTACGCTGTGCCTTTTTGAGTGCTCCGTCATCTCCAACGTTGACTGGCATGTGCCAGGGCAACGATGCGAGCATTCTGAAGGAGACCAGCGTCGCATACCGAAAGCTGAATTACGACGAGGCAAGCTTGGAAGATGCCGTAAATAAAGCCGCGAAAGCATAGAAGAGATTGCCCAGGCTATCGCTCACATCGTCAAGGCTGAGAAGGTAAGGTGTTCGGGCGAGCCTAGAAGAGATCCTCCGAGAGATTGGAGAGATCGCAGAAAGCAGTGACTTCCTGCTTCGAGACCAAGCTACCGCAGAGCAGGTCCGCCCAAGCTAGAAGATGTAAGTTGCACACTTGCTGCGCCGCATCTCGTGAGCTGGGTACTTCTCACGGCATCACCATAGATTGCTGAGCGTGCAATTGACTTGCGCACAGCCCCGATCACGACTGAACCACTCTCTGGTGTGGACATGCCTTCGAACAACAATGTGAATCCATCTCGTGGCACAGCGTATAAGTGCAGGGCAGCCTCGTGCGGCGCGCGCCGATGAAAACGAATCCGATGCAGTGCGACTGCATTGTTTTTGCGCGTCGAATAACGCGACGAAATTGTGATATGTCGGCGTCGAGGTGTATATTGGGTCGCAAGTTTAGCCTTTGAAAGACGAGCAGAGGACGCGTCGGAAGTCATGCGGAGGTGTTCGCGTCGAGGGCCGCGGCTTCTCGGACGGCACGTGATCGGTTCCGCTGGCTAACCAACTAGAGGCTAGATCATGACGTAGTTCATCACCACCTTCAGTGGGCTCTTGTCCGGCAACCAGTCGCCAACGAGAACGCGCGCAACACAACACATGCATTGATATGAGGAGAAATGCGATAGGTATCTACGCATTACACATGCTCATCGATGCCAATCCTCTACTCATGGGCTGTGAGTCCTCCTCGGTATGCGGCAACCCCAGGTCAAATACAACCCGCCTCAGTCCTCGTAATCCCAATACGCCTTATCTAGCTCCGTCTGTATACCCTCGATCAACCTCATCTCGTGTGGCTGGACGCGGAACAAGCGCGGCCCGCCTACACATGGGTTGGAGCATTCGCATGCGAGCGAGGTATCTAATTGTCAGTTAGTACGTATTCCACATGCCTTTGTAGCGCTACTTACTGTTCGTTATGGTGGTCTGAAGACCCTGTTCGAGACTATGTATAGTGGCAGTATGGTTATTGCGCTTGTCGTTCAGTAGCCCCGTCCAGTAATTCCTGGTAGAATCTTTGATGCAACCGCTCATTGTGTACTTGGTTCCTTTTGTATTTCTGAGAGCGACAAGACCATTCCAGGCGGTGATGAAAAATATGTCAATCCACTTCTTTTGGCATGGATGAAGCGGTCTCCAAGGGCAGTTCGCAAGCTCATGTTCAGGACCAATGAAGCGAAAATCGATGATGTCGAGGTTTCCTAACCCAGCCATAGAAATGACATTAATTGGAACAACGCCCCTCTGAAGCGGTTGTCCAAGTTGAGGACAAATGCCCCCGAATGCCAAGAATTCTGTCGCAGTCATCTCAATCTGAAGCTTCTTCAGGAAGTTACCAGGAATTACTATCCGCCTGAGTTGGCGCCAGATCTTTTCAGGTGACGCGGCGGGCCCGATGCCGTCCCCACGCGTGCGAATTGTGGTGAATCGCTTCACAGTATCGCGGTTGGCGACTTGGGTGGCTTCATCCTTTACCTGGCGACTGACGCGCATGATCTCCATATTAGGACGCTGGATATTGGGATCTCGATTGCGCCCTACGCGCTCGGGATTGTCGTACGACAGTCCATATCCAAGCACAAGCTTCTCCGCGCCACCAGGCTGTGTAACGACGTCCGGAACAACGACTGGCCCGATGACGTGTAGGTAGATGGCTTCGCGCATCTCTAGAGGTAAGTCCAGCAGCCGGAAAGCTTGCCCTGTACCTTCCCACCACAAGCGCTGCTCCTCGTATTGCGATTCCGGGAGCCTCATCGCCCACATATCGTCTTCGGCAGTGCAGTACGTATCGCGGATCCATGCAGCTGCGTCGCGCTTGGTTTTCCTGATCCTGCCAAACTCGGTGATGATCATGTCTTCAGCAACACATTTCGCGGATGGGGTATCGATCACAACGGTACGGGTGTAGCCGTCCGACCTCAGCGGCTCGGTGAAGGTATACCAGTCACTATGGACACTTGTATCGTGCCGAGCGATAGCACGTACTGCTTCGATATCTTCGGCATTGGCCTGAGATACTACGAGTAGCTCGTTCTGATGCTTGTGACAGTGACTGTGCTGTGACAAGAACGAGAAGTTGGACCTGCGCTCTTCTTGTATGAACTCATGGAGAGCGGCGATGAGGTCGGAAGGCTGCGGTTCAGGTGTAATGACTTCACTCCCGTGTTGTCTCTTCGGCCCAACGCCGTCATTCCGAGCAGATTCGTCGTCACTATCGCGTTGTCTTTTCGGCATGATATCGTCGGTTGCGTGTGTGAGGTTGGACGCAAGGCGAAGTGTAGAGAGCGTAGATGTTATGTCCTCCATAGTATGAATGGTTGCGACCGTGGCCGTGAGTGAAATGACTGTTGCGTATTCCGGAGGTGAGCGGTTCCTAGGTATACGTACCAAAGTTTATCACCTGAGCAGGTGCGCAGCAGCACGTCTGGGCTGCGTCATCCGCGGCACTAGTCTCTATTCGTACTAGTGCACAAACACTACCGTGAAAGCCTTGGAGTGAAAACACAAAGGAGCGCTGTTTGTATAGTGGAGTGAAAGGAAAAGCGCGCGCATCATTCTTCTCAGTGATTCACTACTTGTGATGTCTTTTGTAGATAGTGTATTTCCCACTGATCTACTCCGCACATTATTAGCCATGGTTAACAAAATATCGGCGCCGCCTCGACAGGAGAAGGAAAGACTTGAGGTGGCTTGCTGTATACATCACCATATTTGAAGGCAATGTAGACTTCTGGGAGGGAGATGTTCAGTGTTTTCCCAGTGTGGGATGGCGCGGCGCAGGTGGAGCGGATCCATTTCCGGATAGCATCGATGAGATGCAAACACTGTGGACATGAGAAAAGATGATTGAATATGTGAAATTTGATTTGACATCGCTATGCTGATGCTAGACTCATAAGTCGTAATAAGCGAAGCGCCTATACAAGGGCTTCTTGGTATATATACATGTTCTCGTCACCCAACTATGCGTAAGACTGAGCAGAGCACGTGAAGGGACTTCGTACAGCACCGGAGTTGTACTGTGTGATGATGTCCTCGACGGACGCGTAGGTACCAGCACCGAGAACGACAAGTCCAATGACGAAGACAATGGAGTTGAGGATGCTCAAGGAGATGTTCTTGGCGTTTGCATTCCACTTGCCCTCCTTGACGAGCTGGAACCAGAAGAGTGCGGGCCAGTAGAATGTGAATCCGGAGATGAAGAGGGAGGAGATGAGACCGAGGAGGGCATTGAAGAAGGGAATGGCCTCGGCGATGATCCAGCCGATGACTGTGACAACGGTGATGAGTCCGACCCAGACACCCCAGCCCTTGACGTCCTTGACGAAGCGGATGGGCGAGGTGGGGAAGATGCGGTCCATGATGTAGCGGCAGACGACGGTGCCGTTGATGGATCCGGAGATGAAGATGACGGGGAGCGCGATACCGAAGGCGATGCGGGAGACGGTGTTACCGGCGGAGAGAAGAGCGGGCGACTTGACCTCCTGGCCAACGAAAGCGTAGATGAGAGCACCGGTCATGGTGTAGATGAAGATCTCAATCAGACCAAGGGCCCAGATGGACTTGACGTAGTCCTTGGGGGTGTGCATCTCCGACATGAAAGAGAATTGGCAGACGGCGAAGGAGTAGGCGAAGATGATGTTGGTGGTCGCCAGGAAAGCCTCGTAGAACGAAGTTCCGGGTTGAGGCCACGCGGACCAGTTGACTGCGCTCAATCCGCCAGGAGCATCGTGCGCCTGAATACCAGTTGCGATGATCGTGAGCAAGATGGCGGCGATGATACTAATAAAGTCGATGTAGCCCAGGAAAGCGAAGTCGTGGAACGTGGGTGGCAGAGCAAGAACCAGCAAGATGATCATGGATACTACACCCCATACGAGCGCGCATGTGGTGTAGTTTCCGATGATGTTGATAAAGGCGATTGTTCCGGTAAGCGCGTGCGATCCAACCAGCAAGATGAGGAAGAGTGCGAACATGACACCAGTGAGTTCCTTTCCGAATTTACCCCAGATGATTTCGACGGCATCCGAGTAGTGGTTGACATGCGGGTAGCGCATCTTGACCTGACCGACAACGTAGGATGTGTAGATTGCAACGAGTCCAAGACCGACGCACATGATGACACCGGGAACCATTCCGAGGGTTGCGAACGCGCTAGGAATACTGAGAGAACCAAGCGCAATAGCTTCGACAATCAGGCAGACTGTGAGTTGCTTCCAGCCGAGGCGGTGGAACTTTTCCGATCCCTCCTGGACGGTGGCAGTCTTGTCGACGGGCATCATGAGCTCGGGGTCGCTCTTCTTTCCCTCAGACGAAAGGTCGTCCAGACGGTAGGTCGGCGGTGCAGCAGCGTAGTGCCGCGCGGGAACGCCAGTGTTGACGCCGTTGGAGGCGTATTGTGGCTCAGGGTTGCCCGTCGTGAGCCCGTGGGCGTGCGGTACTTCCTGCATCTTGGAAAATGCAAATATGAATTTTTCAAAAATAACGGTGGGGTGGAGTCGTGGTCAAGTCGGAAGCTGGAGGGCACTCGCGACTTTTTGGTGTTTGGCGCCTGCTGACGAGCTAGTTTGCCCGGTACCCCAAAAGTAGCAGTAGAAGTGTAGGTCACAGGTCCAGTCGTCGGAATCGGGAAGACGGCGGCGCGTGATATCGACTGTCTGTGACGTACCGTGGGACCGGTGAGAAGGTAGTGAGTTAGCAGCGGCACGCAGGAATAACCGTTTCAAAGGCCAGCGGCTGCTCTTGTTTCTTATATCAGCACGTCTTATCTCTCCGCATGTTCTGCATGTGTAATAGAATGTTCCAAGCGGCCTTCCCCCGCGCGCTCCCAGCATGCTGGGCGACCGATGTTGACCGAAAGCTGGCTATCGAGGGCCTTAGCGAACTTCGGTCTATTGCTCGCATCGTACCAGAGCTTGGTGCGTGCAGCCAGAAGCGTTGCCCTTTAGTGGCGTCGTTAATGACGCGGTCCACATGGTGCGTCGCAGTTGACGTAAAATTTTCTCTTTTTTACGTGTTTGAGTGGTGAGTTTGGGGACGTGCTTGATGTGACATCGCCTGGATCCGTGCTAGGTGACATCAGAGCGAACCATGCATGCGGTTCTGGAGATAAGAGAGCTGCGGTGCTCACGCGACAACCTGTAAGCTGGGGATAAGCGTCTGCACTGGGTGGTGACGACGACAGAGGCGTCGCGTAGGGCTGGTTTGGCTGCATGGGGGCGGCGACAAGCCTTTAGGGCCGCGCCATCCCGGGCCTCGGCGGGGCTTGATAGATTAACCGAACAGGTACCGGGGCGCAAAACTCTGACTAAGGCTGCTCCGATGCGTCCCGTCAACTACACCCAGCGCGGTAATGCACGACGCGCCCCTCGGTGATTTGGTCTGGCCGCACTGCAGCTTGGCTGCTCGAAGGGTCATAGCAGGCGCGGCGTGACCGTGGCTTATCTTTGATCCAGGGTTTTGTGGAGTGCATTGCCGAACTTTGCGCCGCCCAATGATATGGGGGGTGAATGTGATTGCTTGGACGTGGCTACCGTCTACCCCAGGATCCCAAAAGCCTCAGGGGGCACCGTGGGATGTTGCGCCATCATGGCGCGCTTGCCGAACAGCCGTGGTACTCCAGATTAGGAGCGAAGGGAGAATCCGTCGATCAAAGGGCGCAATTGCACTCGGGCAAGTTACTACAGTAAACACATCGGGTATTGGCTATTCGTGGACCCTCCGACTCTTGGACAACGGACGGAACGGCATGCCACAGCCGTTGTCGGAAGCTACCTGACGCCGCGGACTATGTACACTACTACTCAACTACGCCGCCGTCTTGAGAAACTCATCCACTACATGCGGGTCCTTCTCGACTTCTTGGGCACCTCTGCTTCGCCTGCTCTCCCAGGTCTCACCCACGTGGGCGTCTTCCGCTGTCGACTCAGGCGTGAACGTAAACACGCGATGTTCACCTATATTAGAGTTAGCCCATACTGCAGACTAAATACAGAGATGTACCGACAATTCTTCCACGCTGTACCAACCATGGGGTCTTCGACTTCCCAGTCCTCGGTGAGGAAGTGTGCAAATGCGCCATGAGTGACGACCAGGACCTGTTTCATTAGCAAACCGCTGTTAAGAGGAAACTAACGGCAGCTTTACCTGCGCTTCGGGCCTTTGGTACAGCCAGTTCCTGAGATCAGAAGCGCGCTTCGAGATGGCGCGCTTCTCGTATGCCCAATAGTCTTCCTGCGAGGCATTAGTAAGCATGCATGCTGATGTCAAACCGGGAGATCGACTAACCTTGGAGTTCCAGCCCGCTGTCACCGCTGATGCATCAACTTTGCTGATGTCAAAGTCGAGCTGACCCTCTGCGAACAGCTTCGGTAGGAATGCGTGCACTTCATCTGCAGTATCTGCAATTCCGACATCACATCCAATATTGCTGACCTCTTGCAAGGCTGGCAACAGCACGAAAGGCACCTCTTTCCGCGCGAGCACAGGTCCAAAACTCAGCGAGGCGGTCTGAATTGTTCGGCGCAGCGGCGACGCAAATACTACGTCTATTTCTTCATGATGTTTGAATGCCGAGCTAAGCGTGCGACATTGTTCTTTGCCTTTTTCTGTCAGCACAGCATCGCGAATGCTGTAATTGCGCTGCGGCCAGTTAGTCTTATTGGTTCCGAGGTTCTTCTCTATGATATGGAACATACGGTCGCGTTGTGTTCTCCTTGCGCATGGCGCACGATATGGATCTTGGGAGACATCGTGGTGTTGGTTGAGAGTTGCTGAATCTGCAATCTACGCTCGATGGTGGGGCTTGCCGAAGGAGCCACTAAAGTGCTGTCGTGCAGTGGCGAATCTGAGATTGATGCGTGAAAACTTGGTCTCAATAAAGCTCCTCAAATGGTTCTGTGTTAATTTCCAGCAGTGATATTGAATTGAGGTCTTGCCTTCTGCTGCGTAAAGCTCTGCGCTGTGTTCGTACGTGTATCCAAAGATACTTCGAGTCTGACACGGAAGGTTAGCCGAGACAGCTCGCGCTAACCATTCCAGGAAATGCATCTCGCAAGCAGCCTCTACATTGGAAGAACAGGTGTAGGACCGTGAATCCTTCGTCGGTAGTGAATATCCAGAACTGAAACCGAGCAAGGCCTCCAGGCTAAACGTCTGACATCTTCGACACGTTGCCGATGATGCAACCGGCTAGTCCGTCCAGGTATGCTGTCTGCCCATTGCCTCTTGCCATCACCAGCTCTTTCTCTCCTATCGTGTTATAGCAGCGCATGCGTGTTATCGGAAGTGACTTTCCGTGAGTCATGAATACCTGTTGATGAGTGTATGGTGCCCATACATGTAGGAGAGGACTGTCTGGAGAGCGTGGAGCACGATCAAGTAACAATGCCGCAGCGAACGGCTTGATCATCTAGAGAACAAATCCGTTCGTGTTAATCGCTGCCATAAGTAAGTGTAACATGCGCCGCTACTACTGACAAGCATGCGCGTGATGGATGGTGTTTGGTGTTGGAAGTGAGCTGTATGATCCGGAAGGAGCGACTCCAGCTCTAGTTAGCGACTTCCCACGAATGATGTGCCACCATCCCTCTACGCCCTCGCGACTGATCTCAACCACCGAAATGCGATCTCGAAGTGATGCAGTTGATGCGGCATTTAACTATAAAGCGTAAACATTCTTCGCGACGGGCGGTCTTGCACCTACCGCGACACTCGTTGCTCGCGACGCGAATGCGAGTCTCCAAGCAAGCTTCGCGCATCCCGCATCGACCGAAATTATTGCCAAAGCCCAAGAGGTTGGGTAGGCCTGAATTTGCTCATCGGGGCTCTCCGGCTCGCTGAATGTCACTTGCCAAAGCAGCGCAACTTTGGACGGAATAGGGCTCATTCGCATGCGCCAGCTTTTGTGTTGATACGTCATGTCCGGAACGCGTCGTACCTGGGCATCCTGAGTTCCTTCCCGATCGCGCGAGCCAATGCACGTTTTCGGGCAAGCTGGGGCATCGGATCCGCAAAAGACCCCGCAGCACTAGCGCAAGCAGTCTCATCTACCATCCAGGAAGCCTCACCATTATCCTGGACATCATTGAAAGCTTTACGACGTTTGATCACTATTCGTTCAATATGGCAAACAGCGAGCTTACAGTACTCATCATAGGCGCTGGTACCTTTGGCGCGTCTACGGCCTATCATTTGGGCAAACAATACAAAGATCCATCGCGAATTACCATCGTCGACCGTTGGGATAGCAATACGTCCCTAAAGCAAAAGCAAGCGGCAGCCATCGACACTAATCGCATTATTCGCACCGACTACGAGTCGCATCTATACTGCAATCTCGCCAATGAAGCTATTCATTTTTGGTTCTGGAGCATAGCAGTGCAGGGTCATTTCCACAAAACCGGTTGGGTCGTGTTAGACAAAAAGAACGGTACTTTTGGCGACGCGATTAGAAAAACATTCGTTGAGAGAGGGGGCGACTACACGCGCGATCTAGAACCGCAAGAGCTGGACAAGTACGCTGTGACGAAAGGCATCAAGGCTGCAGAATATGGAAAGGGCTACTTCAATCGCGAAGCCGGCTGGTGCGACGCGGAAAAAGCAACACAAAGCTTCACGAAGGTTGCATTGGAGCTAGGAGTCAAGAGGGTGACTGGAGACGTGCAAGAGTTATTGCTGAGCGCCGACCAACGCAGCCTAGCAGGTGTAAAGCTGAGAGATGGTCAAATTCTGAAAGCCGACAAGATCGTGTTGGCAGCAGGAGCATGGACCAGCTCTCTGATGTCGCCGATCGAGGATGCTTTGAAGATCCAGGAAAAAGACCGCATCGAGCGCCAGATCACCGCTGTAGGACGGGTCTCTGCTTACTATACCCTGAACGAACAAGACACTCAGAGCATGATCGACGAAACAGTACCTGTAATCGTCATTGGCGGAGAGGTCGACATCATCCCACCCTCGCAACCGAACCGAACGCTGAAGATCAACGACATCAAGACAGAAATCATCAACACGGTTACGACCCCTTCCGGTCATAAAATCACTATGCCATCTCGAAGAAACCAGAACGATGTCCCTGAGAGACTCAAGCGTGAAAGCGCACAAATCATGCACGGTGCTATGCCAGATTGGACACGAAGCAAGCAACCAGACAGATGGCGAATTTGCTACGACGCCGTTACGCCAACCGAAGACTGGCTAATGTGTCGACATCCTCACAAAAGTCTCGCCAACTTGTACCTCGCCGTTGGCGGTAGCTTCCACTCGTACAAGTAAGTGGCCTTAGACTCCATGTCGCGGTTGTAGTACTAATCGTCTTCTCAGATTCCTCCCCGTCGCTGGCGCATACATGTGCAACGTACTAAGCGGCAAGGCCAACGGCGAAGAGAAAGATGCGGCCTGGAAGTGGAAAAGCGCCGAAGAACTGTCATGTCGCAAGGGTAAGGAGTTTGGTGAAAGTCCAAGGGACTGCGATAAGAAAGAGTTGAGTGAATATGAAGAGGGCGCAGCATCGAAGTTATGATCGTTAAGAAGCATTAGAACCAAGTTTTCTCAGCATCATACGTCGCAATCGACTGAGGTTTTGTGGACTCCATGCCAAATGATCTTTTTCATTGGCCATCATTAATGACAGCGAGTGAGTCCTTGATCTCTTGGTCTCCTCGTCTCTCCCATTCATACGAGGGTCGTTTTATTCTGGTCTCACTGGCGATGCAGATGTCGTGAGTGGCTCGCCATGTTTGTCATTTCTCAAACGCCCGCTTGCTTCACTCGGGCCCCATTTGCCTTCGAAGGACAAGCAACTGCTGGTGGCATGTTGATATAATGAAGCTTGGGTCGCTTTCATGCGGATTGGAGCCTTACTTGTTGACATGAGTGAAAGAGGATTGAATGTCGCCTTAATGGCGCGATCTGGTATAGAGCTCTCAAAGCGCATATATACGCAGCTACTCTGGTATGGGAGTGCTCACACTGTCACTCAACGGCAGCGCAGTCCCCCAACTCGCGGGCACACAAGACTACACAGGGATCGCCAACAGATCAGGCTCTCCTTCCATACACGACCTAAGCCATGTCTTCTACCGAGCAAGATGTCGGTAGCAACGACAACAGTGACAAAGATCGCGCCATCACCAAGCCCAGTGAAGGCACGTATATAAGTTTACTCAACACCGACAACGACGTCACCGTAGACGAAGAGCTCGCCGAGGATCAAGAAATGGAAGACAGCTACGTGTTCGTAGAAGCCGACTACCATTCCTACAGCGATGTCGAATCTTCTGTTGCCGAAGGCTCGAGTTCGAGCTGTGAGCTCCCAGAGCGTGAAGAAGAAAAAGACCCAGGGTCAAAGAGTGACTCTAATAAGATGGAAGAGCAGAATGGTGGTGTGAGGAGGGGATTTGTCAAGAAAACAGCGGAGAAGACTCCCGGTGCTGAAGGGAGCGATAGCAAGGATGATGGAATAGATTTGCCAGATATTGTGAAGGTAAGTAAAGATTCGATAACCACGCATCAAGTTGCTGATGAGAACAGACTCTGTTGTCACTATTTCTCCGCTCGATCAACGGGACTGATCTTACAGGATTGAGCAGAGAATCGTGGCGGAGAAAGCCTGGCGTGCGAGAAGAATAGCAGGTAACTGAGTTCAGGAGAAGCGGGAGGCATGAGAGGGCCGTAGTATAGCATGTATTGTTTCTCGCTGGCTTCCTACAGCGGCGAGCACGGACGTAGGCACAACTTAACGTCATGGTCCAAAAGGTTAGTTCACGGAAGAGAAAGCTAAATAATATACTGCGTATCGCATCATCTTGGCATTGAATCGCGCCCCATGCACTGACCTACTTCCTGTCATAGACCAACGCGATGGCCGACCTAGAGAGAGAACACTGCGCTCTCTACTCTCGTAGTAACTCAACTCCACATATACAGACACTGTCTACAGTCTTCTCGCCACGAGGTTGACCATCATGCCGCGTCCAGAGAAACCTCACATGAACGACGATATTAACAGCCAAGAAGACTTCACCCAGCTCGTCAACGGAAAGAAAGTCGTCGCCCTCCCCAATGATACACGTCCGAGACATCCTGATGGCAGCTACGTGTTCGTTCGTGACGAGACTGCTAAAACCATCGAAGTAAGCATACAGGCGCCCTTCAAAGCTCAATCATGTATACTAACGCTTCCGCCCAGGACAAAAGCGCGCAAGACATCATCGCCTACTACGCCAAAATCCTCGCCATCGAAACAAAATCCAGACCCCATCCTAGTTTGACATCGAATGCAATCATCGACGGCTTGGATACCCTACGCATCTGCTCCGAGATCTTCTCCGACAATCCTACTAAGCCTTCTTTCGTCGCGGAATACTTACACATGCTAGCGCCACAACACCAACTCAGTCTCTCCATCGTTCTTTCCATCATACTCGATACAGACGACTGGATGAACCTCGAGCGTGAGGTTGTCAGGGACGAGGAGTTCGAGATCTCGGTGGTGATTTGGGTGCTGAAGCTTGGGCCTGAAGGGCTTATGCTGGGGAGGGTGGAGGGGAAAAGCGAGATGCAGAGTTTGTTGGGGGCGGAGGAGGCGTGGATTGTGGTGAATGAGGGTAAAGTAGAGTATGAAGAGAAGAAGATGGAGCTTATGCGGGTTGCTGCGGAGGTGACGATGTGGGGGAGGGGCGCGGCTGGGATGTTTGCTAAGAAGGGTCGAACTGAAGACGACGATTGAAGGGTCGATGGGACTTCTAGGCCAGGGCAAGTATGTGCTTCCTGGCACTGGTCGTGTTTGGTATTTGGGCTTGATGTTTGCCTCAGTCGAGGAAAGGTGTAGGAACACGTTTTACCTTTGTTTGGAGGTCAGCTTGCGTACGAATAGTTGCTATAGCTTGTCGCCAACAAGGATATCCCCAAGCATATATTCTTCGAGCACGCGTGATGGCATCCTTCCACTGTCGCCTGAATGGTCGTACAAATGAGTGCCTGATCTGGTCATCTGCACATTGCGAGAGAGTGCGAAGTAGACATTCACCGCAACCTTCTCCTTCTGGAAGAAAGCCCTCAGTCCACGGACCTCTTCCAGACCCACTTGTTGAATGGCACTTCTTAGCTGTGATCCCTCTCTCTTGTGCTATATATACCGTCAGAATTACAACTGCGCGGCCTGATCTCGGAACACACCACAACCTCTCTACAAAGTATAGTACCAACCAATACACAATCGCGACGAATATGCCTGCTTCCAAGATCTCAGAGACTGCCGATAACGTCAGCAACGAGAGCGCTGTTAGTACCGTCGACGACGTTGAAGAGACAGACGGCTTCGTCCTCGTATCCCCTGGCGACTACCCAGAGACATCCGCACCAACCTCTACTGCTGCAAAAGATGTCTGGACCGAGATCATCAAGATCACTCAAACTGAAGATAGTCTCTTCGAGAAGGTCATCACTACTCTCCTTGGCCGTTGAAACCTTCAAACTGAGATAACACAGGGTGAAAATCACGTCACCGCCGTCGAGACCTGCCGATACCACCTCCGCCCCTCCGAGTGCCGTAAGACCTGCAGTAGCACGTTTAAGTGCGACGCTTGCCTGTCTCTGATCGCCGGCCTCGAGACCCTCGCCAACTGCGCCTGGGAATGGTCCAACGAGAGCAAGCCGTTCCAAGACAACATCAGCAATATCATGCATTGTCTGTACCGCCTCCCCTTTCATTTCCAGGAAGGTCTCTACAGCGTCATTGAAGCTGTAATGGACCACGAAGAGAACTGGCCTACGGCGGACCGAGAGAACTGCGAGCTGTGGGGTTTCAAGATCTCTGCTGCTTTATGGTTGCTTCGTCTGGGTGTTCACGGTTTGGCGTGGGCGCTGAAGGAGGGCAAGGAGTGGCGTCTTGTGCTGGCTGAGACGGAGCGTTCGTGGTACGAGGGACTCGTTGTCGCTGATGAGTATGAGGAGGCTATTGAGGAAACGAAGCGCTTTACTAAGGCTTTCCGCAAGTGGGGTGCAAGTGTTGATGCTGAGCGACGCGCTCGGTCTTCCGCTTAGTCCATCACTAAGTAGCAAATAGCAAGTGTTTACATGTAGTATATTCTGACTCACGACATACCAATAACATCATCTACTCCTTCACCTTGATGACGACCTTTCCAAAATGTCCTCCGCTGAAAAGGTACTTGATCGCCTGATCCGCCTCTTCGAACTTCCAAACACGGTCGACCACTGGCTTGATCTTCTTCTCGTCGTAGAACTTGAGCATTCTCTCGAGCTCAGTCCTAGGACCGTTCACAATGCCCTTGAGCGTGACATTTCTTTTCAAACACAACAAGTTCGTGTTCGTCCTGTCGCCAGCCTCATCTTGCTTGCCAGATAGGTAGCCAATGCAAGAGATCAATCCGCCGAATCGTACACATTCGAACGACTTGCGGAGCGTTTGCGCACCACCGACTTCGATGATGATGTCGGCGCCTTCGTCGGAGGTAGCAGAAAGGACTGCGTTCTCCCAGTCGGGAGTGTTGCGGTAGTTGATGGTGGTCTTCGCACCAAGCTTGGATGCGCGCTGGAGCTTCTCATCGGAGGAAGATGTGACGATGGCATCTGCGCCTGCTGCGGATGCAATTTGGGCTGCAGAGATGCTTACACCGCCAGTACCCTGGCACAGAATCTTTTCGCCCGGTCCGATGATCTCGCCATTTGGTCGCATACAGTTCAAGCTCATCCAGGCGGTTACAGCTGCGATTGGCAAGCAAGCCGCTTCGTCATCGGATAGATAATCTGGAATCTTGACAACGCCATACGTGGGGAAGACACGGTACTGCGTCAATACTCCAGGGGCAGGTCCGCCTAGGCCACCCGCAATGTCTGAGGCCTTGATTTGACCGCTGAGATGCTTCGGCGCAAATGTACTGATGACCCGGTCGCCTTCCTTGAGCTGGAAAGCTGGGTTCTTGTAGGGGTCTGAAGTGTTGTTGGAGACTGGGCCAACCGCAACAACTACACCGCACATGTCGCTACATGGGACAATAGCGGGGGGATGTTCTACGGACTTGTGGTGGTTGTAGAGGCCCATGGCGACTGTCCACGTATTTAGCGTTGTTCAAATGGCCGTCTGGACCCTGCCACAAAAGTAGGTGTGACCACATCCCACAGTACGTACCTTCGGTATCCCTGTAGTTCAGACTCACGGAATGAACTTCAACCAACACCTCGTCTTCACCAGGGGCCGGGCAATCCGCCTCGCCCATCCTGAGCTTATCGAGCCCGTCCTGGCCCGTGAGCCATTGCTTGATCTTTTGTGGAGGCGTCATCTCGAGATCTCGAACTGAAAGTTGAAACAGAATCGAACGCTTTTGGGTTGCCAAATCTAAGGTTTACAGTTGACGTAGATGTCGTGCTTTTAATGTCCTTGGTTTTGCGCTGGGAAAACAGTCCAGAAATTTCGCTCAGCCAGTCTCGGCGGTCTTGGGAAAAGGGTGGGGTGGGCATCCCGGGCAGTATCGTCTACTTAAGGCCTGGATTTGCTATGTAAGCTGCAAGAAATGCAGATGGTGGATCTCGAGCAGCGGGCAGAAAACCGCCGAAAGGTGTGGGGATGGGCATTATTTCTATGTGTCGTTGCGATGACGATAGGGTGCTCACGGCTGGTCATCGAGGTGTTCGTGAGGAGCGTCCCGCATTGGCCGTCTTCGCCCGATGAGCCGAGGTAGGCAGGGTGTTGTCGGAAAGCGCGAGCCGATGCCAGCCTACAACACCAAGACATTCCTCACGAGATTCAGGAGCGCATGGAAGAAGCCACCGACAACTTCAATCTTCAATTCTTGCACATCGCGCACGGTGCTGTCTGCTAGGGTGAAACCTGGATCTTGCCAGATGATGCAGCATCCCTGATGACGCGCTACGATCGATCGACCCCGGAAAGCGGGAAGTCTCAGGGGTATCGTCTGGAACAAGGCCATGACGATGCTGGTGACCACTAGATCGGACGATAACATGCGATCGGGAAAAATGACATGCGATCGTTCCGGAACGTCTTATTTTATTATTGTATTGAAACTGCGCACGGCTCGTGGGGTTCAGGTACGATATTGGAGCTGCCACGCGACTTAGCGCGTGTGGGATGAGAAGAGAGCATGACGACATGCGATACTGTGATATAAACGCGACGCGACCCTCTGGAAAGTAGGCCAGCATCTCATCCACAGCAACACATCGCATCAACATCCTCAACATTCCCAACATCTTCACCCCTTCAACAACATGAGGCCCCAGCTATACTACTCTGCGAGCCAGGAGGCCGTCCCTCCACCACTCAACAACTTCTTGAGCCCCGAGTTTGCGCCAGCCCTCACTGTGATGGAGCAGTTCGAAGCGGACCTTTTGCGCATGGACGAAGAGCACCTCCAGCATCGCGAGCGAGCTGTACCCGAAGTCCCCTCACCATCCCCATTCCCTGACGATGGACTCTCAAGCGACTCCACTCTATTCGGCAGAGTGAGGACATTGTACCGACGGTTCTCCAGTTTCTCTCAACGCAGCAGCAGCCGTGCGAGCGATGCCAGTCTCTGAAAACAAAACATGATATCGTCATGCAGGTACAAGCGTTCGCATAGTCGCACGCACTAGTCGCTGTCCTGTCCCATCGACCCGGGCCGCCTTTCAAAGCCATGCGCTATGGCCACCACAATCTCATTCCCGGATCGAACAAGCATCGACAGGCAGCATCAACGATACGAAATCGCATCATGAATGCGCTCAGCCCGGCAAGCCTCAACTCAAAGGCAGATGCATAGATTGCACACCGAGCTACCGCCAATCCGCGACCCGTGTCACGACATGGACCATTGAACCCGCCAGCCGCCGCCGCTAGTCGGCTGTCCCGCGGTGTCGATATCGATCGCGGCTCGGGAACCCGAGGCCCGCGTGGAAGAGCGGTTGGTTGAGAGGAAGGTCAATGACGTTGACACAGCCGATCTGTCTCGTCACGATTGACACACCTGCTTCAATGCAGGCACTCTCCTTATTGGCTATCAAGGAGTGATAGTCGAGCGTCGGGCTGGTCCTGATACATCCCGCCCTGCTCTTACGCCCAGCATGGGCCTGGCTAATCGCCACGCCATTCGGAGAGCTCAACATGGCCTGAAGTGGAGTTTGAGGATTTTGAATTGGGATGTTGATACTTGATAGTGTACGCACCGTTTAGGATGCATGAGCGTTGACTGGATGTGTTCAGTATTATAATGTCTAATTACTATTCCAATTTCAACCTAGTCGGCATCCTCTGATACCTCTTGGTACGCCATCGCAATCACTTCACCCTTCACTCTTGATTTCGCAATGCGAGATAGATTACCGTTCTGGCCGAATGCTATAATCCGCTGCTCGAGCGAGCGTGTTGCGCCTTTCGGCCCATGAAGACGTGATGATCGTGACGTGCTATGTGAGCGCATCGGCATCAGGCAACTCCGCCGATTGCCGTAAGCGTCTTGTAATAGTCAGGGTCGATGGGATAGTGGTGAACGCAATGTACGCAAAGCCGGACAACTGCTAAATCAGTGTGAAGTCTTTTAATACACCTCAACATCAAAGTGATTGAACTAGCTGAGGCTCACAGCAGTCGTGATCGCGAGTTAGCTGTCATTACGTATGCCAAGGCGCTAGGACAATCTTATTGATTGGCAAACTTCCCGACGTCCCGCCCCCTTCCTGTCTACAGCTGTCTCTGTCGTGCCCCTAGTGTCTAGCATTACGCTGCAGAGGTGTTAGGTATTAAAATTATACTAATTATTTATCTAGTTCTAAAGTATTTCTACTACTATTATAAACTAATTATCTTTTATTATAAAAAAGTATTCTCTACTTTTATAGCTTTAGTTATAATTTTAGTAAGATTTTCTTTATAGTATTATTATACTTTTTTTAGCTAAAGTTACTTAGTACTTTTAGTTAAAAGTAAATTAAAAGAATTATTACGCTAGTATTAAAAGTACTAATTATAAAGTTATAAAAGTAAGTAAAAGCTTTATATTTCTACTTTATAAAAATATAAACTTCTACTAGTATAGTTACTATAAAATATATAAAAAGAGACTTAGTTTTAGCTTACTTATAAATTAGAGCTTTTATTTTATATTAGTATTCTTTTTAGTTAAGCTTACTAGTATTATAATAAGTAGTAATATACTTAAGTATTTTATTTTACTACTAGACTAAGTTCTAAAATAAAGTAGCTAATTTATATTTTTTATATATAAAGTTACTAGTATTAGTAAGTATATAAATTAGCTATATATTTTTTATAATAAAGATAATATTTAAAATATTATAAAAGAATTTAAGTGCTACTTATATAAAATTTTATACTTTAAAAATAAGTAACTATAGTATTATAAAATTTATACTTATAGTATAGCTATTTTTACTACTATACTAAAAATACCTATTAAATTATAAGTTAAATAACCTAAATTAGACACCTAGTGTCTCTATTGTTACATTTGCTAACTACAGCTTTCTTATATAGACCAAGCGGTTCAATTGCATGCGCTGCTACGAAATGGATGATTAAAAATCTGCGGTTGTGCAAAGTTCTTCCATTTTCACACTTTCACCTTTTTCCAAGCTGTCATCCCCAACCTCATGTCCTGCACGGCAGCACCATGTACACTTCCGTTATCGTGCCGTCATTTGCATTTCTTACTAGCTCTTCATTCATACGTCAGTCCCGAGTTGAAGATATGACAGCGTGCTTCAATGCGTCGCTGCGAGACGTAGGTAAAGTTCGAGGATGGTCGCTTGCGCGAGGAAGCAAAAAGCGCGATTATCAGATTCACCAGCCAAGCTTTTGCGATATATTTCATTGATCCGCATAACGAGTCTGCTACCCGGCTTCAATACTCCTAACGAGAAACCGAACCGACTGGTTATGGTACATCGAAAACCCCAGGTCGCGGGAGATGTGCGCAGCATTCACCTCGTGCAACAGCGGAGCGCGACCATTCCCTCGCGTTGCCTTAGCAATGCGGTATCGCAGGCACCGCCAAGCGATGAGCTTTCACATGGTCACGTCGCTATGTGGCATTGTGCGTCAGGCACTCTCAGGTCAGTCACATATACTTGGCTGAGAAGGTTTCTTGCGCGCAAATCACTTGGACACTATCCGCATAGTGAAGAGAAGCGACCGAGATGACCACATCATTCGAAAGACGTCAATAGAAGGACCTAGTTGAGCGCGCGCGAGGAGAAATTGTCGTACCCTTTTACCTTTGTCCGCCTGGGACATTGTCGGGTGGGCTTGCTTACACTGTTGCTGGCTTTGTTGATCCGCGCACAACTTTCGTTCACTTTCAAAGGACACCAAACGCGCAAGATGTATTTCTACACTGTGCGATCTAGATGTCAAAGCGCCCTCCTCACGCCCCAGAACGACCTTTCACGCGTAGCCTTACAATGGCCGCGCCCCGTCCTCCTACTTATTGCGCCCCGTCTCCCACTGCAATTATGTCTTCCCAATCCAGACGCGCGTCAACTCTCTACCATTGCGCCATTCCCACCCCGCAAAGCAAGGTTTTCGCTCCCTCCTCTGCCACCCGACTCAACAACTCTACACGCGACCCCATCCAATTGCTCTTGGAACCTATCTGTGCTTTCGATACAACTACTCCACCACCTCGCTCGATCCAACACACCAATACGCAACTGCCTCATCCCGAAATGTCAAAGCAGCCCGCCGGCTCGAAGCTCGGGCAGAGTGTGACTCCCAAAACACCGAGGAAAGCGAAGAAGGCTGTTAGTTTTGAAGCGGCGTCTGCGAGTGCGAACGACGAATCCAGTGCCTCTGATGCTGCCGCGCCCGTCGAAGAGCAGGAAGGAGGACCTCCAGATGAGGACGAGTCAGAATCAGAAGAGGCCGCTCCTACCCCGAAACCCAGGAAGGGCGCAAAAGCCGCTACCCCGGAGAAGCCCAGGAAGACCGCAGCACCCAAGGAACCCGCCGCCACGGAGCCAAAGGCCAAGCCAAAAAAGCCGCCCGTCGGAGAAGGCTTCGATTCTTACACCCATAGTATAGTCATTCCTCCGACGGACCAATGGAGCAAGTTCTGGGGTGCAAAGCCTGTGTCAGGTGATCCTCGGCCCAGCCCTAAACAGCCTTCCGCCCGCGAGAGCATGGGTCAGACTGAGCCTCCCATGTGGGAGAATCGTGGCTTCCGATACAAGCGCGGTACGCGCGACACAAAGCACAATTTCCAGGTTGAGCCAGACGACGTTGATCAGCTCCCTCAGGATAAGAACCAAGAAGACTTACTTGCCATCCCACTCATGGACATGCGGTTGAAGGATAAGAACGAACCTACATCCCACAAGAGAGAGCCGGTCATCTACTGCTATAACAAGGTACCAAAAGACTGGAATGACAAGCAAACCGTCAAGGCTCTTAACGATCGCCGTTACCAGGGTATTGATCGCGTGACCATTGATCCACCGTGGTCGGAAATCGAGCGAGAATATCTGGCTTCCCTCATGCGGGACAATCCCGACGCATCCATTTGGGAGTTGACTGAGCTCCACAACGATCGCTTCAAGGGCAAGGACTTCAGGGAAGCTACTCCTTTCGGGAAACTCTCTGATGGTCGGACAGTAGAGAGCACTCGCTACCAGTACACATCGTACAAACCATGCTACGATCGTGGCGAAGACCCACCGAATGTAAGATGGCGCGGCGACCCTTCGCCTGAAGCCAAGGCACTCGAAGCGTCGGGGCGCTTGGTGACCGCCTTTGGGAAGCCGGACAAGGCTCTACTAAAGGAGTACGACAACACCCACGACGGCAACGATGGCGACGACGAGGGTGGTAAGCCTAGGAAGCCAGCCAAGAAGAAGCCGTTGAACAAGAAGAAGTCACAGGCTGCCGTGGAGGAATCGGAAAGTGAAGATGGGTTCGGTAGCCCTCTGGTACGCAAGCGCCGTGGTTCGGAAGACTCTCAAGACCAAGAGCGGTCTGCTAAGAAGTCGAAGACCGAAAAGTTTCCTCCATATGCTGAGCAGCCCGCGCTTGACGAGGAAGAAGAGGATCTCCTAGTCCTGGCCGGCGCCTACGAGGATAACGATGGTGATGAATCTTCATCGGTGATATTTGAAGACGACGATGCTGAGCAAGACGAAGAAATGGGGGAGGAAGACTATGACGACGCCGAACAGCAGATGGTCTCAGCCGCGCTCGAAGACTCCGCAGCTGAGGCTGCTCAAGGTCGTCTAATCGAACAAACTGCAGTCGAGCAGACTACGATAATTGAAGAGACGCATGCTACTCGTCAGATCGTGGTTGACGAGAACTATAGCGACGAGGAAGAGGCAGAGTAGGTGGAAGGTTTCGTGGAGACATCAATCCATTCGGCGTAGCAATCGCTTTCCAGATGCATGGACAGACGGTGGCCTACGGGTGCTGAGTTGGCCTTTGTGTTTTCATCATGTTATATAAGTGCGCATCAGATGGCGCAGTGTCATTAGGAGGTTGGACGTTATGTGTGGTCCTTGATCACCTCGTGGAGTAGTATTAATGCGATTTTGGTTTCTGCTTGTTCCAACATTCAATAACTAACAAACCCGCAACTGCTGCTGTTCTGCTTGTTCCGCTTCCACGTTTTCTTTTTTTCAGTGTTGGATGGTCGTCGCGCGAGGTACGCATCTTCTTCTAGCGCCCGCCACAACATGCTAGCGGCTTCCACTCCGCGCTTCGCTGATTGGTCAGTCTTCGGACAAAATCCGGGTGCGTGATGTAACGCGCAACGCTCAACAGCTGGTTACACTCCGCAACTAGTGACACTCCGGAGTCGTCGACACTCCGCAACTTTGTACAAAAGGAAGATACCTCGATCGATTAACATGTATCATCAGCCTGCACTGAAACAACTTCCTCGAACTCACTCATCTTCATTTTCACCGTCCTGATCATGGCTTCTTCATTCCTAGTTGTCGGCGCCACAGGCAATACAGGCCGCAGTGTTGTCGAGACCCTCTCGAAACTCATCAAATCCAGCAAGACATTCTCCGACTATCGCATCCTCGCCGTCACACGATCTGCAAACAGCTCCTCAGCAAAGGCACTCGCCAAATATCCTCATGTCGAAATTGTCGAATACACCTGGGTCGAGATCACCGCGGAGTGGCTACGCGAACACAATGTCGCCCGCGCATTCATAGCCTCACACAACGAGCCCAACCAATTCGCCGAAGAATCGACATTCCACCTTGCAGCCCGTGACGCTGGCGTCAAGTACGTCGTGCGCATCTCCACAACAGCTGCGAATGTGAAGCCAGACTGCCCTGCCTACTACCCACGTACGCACTGGGCCATTGAGGCCATGCTTGACTCTCCAACCTACGAAAGCATACACTGGACATCACTGCAGCCAAACGTGTTCACGACTTTCTGGCTTATGCCCGCTGCTGAGCTCATCAAGGCTGTTCGCAACGGCGGAAAGCAACACACATTGCGCACGATGGCGAGCGCTGATGGACCGGTTGGCGTCATTGATCCCCATGACGTTGGTGTCTTTGCTGCGCATCTCCTACTCCAGGAAGACACCTCTGCGCACAACAAGCGTAGGTATGTCCTCAACGGCCCGGAGGACATCACCGGCGATGAAGTTGTAGCGATGGTTGAAAAGCACATCGGCGCCAAGGTTGAGGACGTTAAGTTCAAGGATCTGTCGTTTGTGGACGACATGGTCGCTGCGTCGAACCAGGCAAAGAACGTGATAGGTTCTATCAAGCGTGCTCCGCAATCGGCGTGGAATGGCGAGGCAAAGGCAGAGACAACGAGCAAGGAGGTGCTGGAGATTGCAGCGCCGAAGAGGACGCCTGCTGATGTTATGAAGATGTTGTTGGGGTAAAAGATGTGGCAATTAGACTCCAATGAATTAGCATTACTACCATACTACCACAAAATCCTCTACAACTACTCATAACAGTCGCTGATCACCCTGTGACTTCTCGCAATGCTTCTCACACGTGGTTACTCGCTTGCTTTTCCACCAATCAAGAGCACCAGATGACACTCGGAAGATGCCCCAAACGGTAATGAAGTTGGCCTGTCGTACGACCCTGGACAGTACCCAGAGGTTCAAGTAGACGCCCCATATAGTCTTTGTATTGAAGAAGACATTGAAGTTTGCGATCATTTGCATGGCCAGGCGACCATTCGCAGGGGTCGAATTCACCGTGCTGTTGATCGCGTAATTAAAGCATCCGCCGACTAAGTGAAATGGTAGGCTGTCGAAGAGGAGCACACGTAGAATGTAGTACACCGTTGATGCGAAGGATTCCTTCAATTCCTGATTGTTTCTTTCATCGACAGATCCCAGATGCCAATATACACTCTGATGTCTCGAGACATTAAACGTACGATCGGCATCAGCCACCCAAGAACGCCACGAAGATTTATCTGACTTCTTGAAGCTTTTGGTAGCGTAGTATTGTCGGTGGTATTCCAGCTCCGAAAGGACGAAGAAAGCAAGCGCAAAGTGTACAGCGCGGTGCTGAAGTCCAGTCTCTTCGAAGTTTGGTTCGGCAGTCTTGCCAATAGCGGTCGCAGCCTTGTCGAGGTACAAGAGTATGACTGTAGTGATGACGCAGTATGTCTGGGATGCAGTCATATCGGATGGGCCAAATCGTGTTCCGAAAGCGACAACGAGGCCGATGTATGGCGCGCTACCCCATATCATGACTGTGGGAGTAGACGTCTGCGCGATGAGGGTGGAGAGGTAGACTGCAAACATGCAAAGCGAGACTTGCACAGCGTAGCGACTGGCTGAGACGCACTTCCACCTGCTGTCTGCCATGGCTCTGGTAAGTGGAGGCATAGGTAAGAGGTCATCGTGTAGCGTTAGGCCGATGTGTTTTTGAAGCGATGTGGGAGAAAACTTCGGAAAATATGGAGGCCTACGAAGGCTTTGGTGGTACCATGGTAACTTCACCCCACCGTGCCACAGACTGAAGCAGACCCTTGCGAAAAAAGCCCAGGATGTCTCTTTAAGCTCTTCGTATATTGGTCGCATCTAAAATGCAATGGCTGTGAGTGGCTCGCTAGAGGCTGCTACCTACGAGTCATCGTTAGCATTGCAACTCTTGGTACTCCGATGAAGCAGCCTGAATTCCAAAATTCCGCATCTTCAACTCTCTATAAATGTAGTGCTGGCCCCATCTTCGGTCAGACTGTGCAGCCATGGCTTCCTTACTCACCCTGCCCCGAGAGCTTCGCGATGAGATCGTCGATCTCCTGCTACTTACGCACAACCCGCAGCCGGCGGATGTATCCGAATCCGACGTTTACGATATATATCATCGATCTTCGCCCACCGTCTTTCCTCGCCCCGTAAAGCACCACGCTGCTGGCCTCTGTCAGGCCTCACGTCAACTTCGTACCGAGGTCCTTCAGCGCTCATCTTCGCTTCAACTGGGGTTACGATATGCCCTCCGGATAATTATTCATAGACCTGAAACTCGTGAACGTGGTTTATTTCTGGAGCCTCGCCTGCGATGGATTGACACACCCGTTGCCGATACCAATAACCTCGACAAGTTCGATATCTCATTTGAGTTGAACGACTTGTTGGCCTGGGGATGGGTCCAGACTTCCAGGGAGTTTGGGACAGTTGGTCGCCTATTGAATGATGCTCTTTGCGCAGTCATGTACAGGTATGGACGCGCCGGCCGCGAGGCAACGATCAACAAAGTCAATATCGAAGTCACCGTTAAAGAAAGTCAAGCCTTTGTGTCCCGTGGTGGAGGACTCAAAGGCGACAACGCTTTGGAGAAGTTGGAACGAATTCTTTCTGATGGCGGACAACAATTCGCGAACTTCTGCATAGCAATGGCTATCAAGTACAGCTGTCTCGGAGTCATAGATCTGGTGAGGAATACGGACACGGAACCCGTGACACTTCTTCCAAGTAGCAGGAACAAGTTCTGGCAACGAATTGGTAGCATTTCATTGCAGGCTGGCACTGCAGTTCGCAAGAAGACCTGGTACATCGACCGTAAACTCATAGATCGCATGGTAGATGTCGAAGACCCCAAGTACCACAAGTTCATTGCAGAGATACTGCTGCAGAGAGGTCGTAATGGCTTGGATCAAGATTCGATGCTCGCGAATGATCACTACGAGGATCCTGAAACGGTCGTCCTATCGGGGAGTCGTGATCGGAATAATCATCGACACGCTATTGGTGTTCGCATCCACAAGACTAAGCAAGGCTGGAGCGATGCGAAACCGTTGTCTATCGAGGCTTGGAAAGAAGCGGTGAGAGGAGAATGTTTTCGAGAGGAGTGGAAAGCTTGAAGGGGTACTAAAGATGGTATTAAGGAGACAGAGATGTCAAAGAAGATAAAATGGAGAGGCGGCGGGAATGCCATCTCGGGGCTGCGCTGGTGCTGTTGGAGGGTGGGATCGGAGTTGCTGTCGCGTCGGAAACACTGAAAGTGATGATGTCATAGCGTGCTGCAAACTTGTCCTCATTTCCTCTTTATCCTGTGCCCACGCCAACACCCGCGCATCTCCTCATGCATCGCTCGCCGCCCTGACAAATCGCACGTTGGCTCAAATGGCGCTTCCAAAGACTGACGACAGTGCCATAAAGCCACAGGTGATTTTACAAGAAGGCTCAATTGCAGATATTCCATTGACTCATCCGATTGTCACACAGGGCGGGTAAACACCACGAAGCCGGAATGCTTCCGCAAAGCTCCTGGTGTACTATGGCGCCTCGCTATATCCATCTCCACCGTACCAGACGACAGACTTTATGCGCCGCCAATATCTGGACTGCCCGTTTTGTCCTTCACTTATATTCACCCTCAAACCGAACTTTGTTTATCGATGTGTAGGAAGCGGCTTAGGGGCCTGCTCTGCCGACATCCGTGGATATACCATTCTTGATATGCTGGCGCTTACTTCGAGCGCTTCTTGGATGACTGACCTGCTCCTTCTCCACCCACTGCATCAGCCTTCCGAGCGCATTTTCCGCCTGTCTTCGCATCTTCTGCCTCTCCTCCCTTGTTACCACCCTTCTGCTTCTTGGGCTCTGATGCCGCAGCTGCCTTTTTCGCTGCGTTCCTTGCCGCGCGAGCAGCTGCAGTAATCTTCTTCTTCTCCGGATCGTGGAGATGGCAACGCCAGCTCGCACGATCCTTCTCTTCAATATCTAGACTTCTTCGCTGACAGGCTGTTCCGTCATTGTTGGTGCCTGTACATCTAGCGCGGACCTGACCCTGCGCGAAGCCTCCAGGCTCTGCTTGTTCTTCCTCATCGGTCGCGCCGGAGTTCACGTCGTCGCCCGCGGTAGATATATTGTCCTCCTCCATCAGCTCCCGGTCTGATATGTTCGCCGGGTCGTTAAAAGGTCCAGATTTGATGACGGCGTGGGCGCTACCGTCGGTGTCGACGTCTTGTGCGAGGTCGGCCTGCGTAGAATCTTCGCTGAATCCAGGAAACTGCTTGCGAGCAGTATCCTGAAGAAATGACCAAAGCTCCGGCCACAACCTCGGGTCATACATGTACGTGTCCAAACCCTGTCGCTCGCGTATCTGGCGATACTCCCGTAGCATGGCTGGCGAGACCTCGATGCTGCTGATACTAGATGCATCGCTGTTGTTGACCGCTTTCAGACTCATCTGTCGAAGAGCCCACAAAACAAATCCGGATAGCTTGTCTCGCTTCTCTACGAAGGTGTTGACGCCTTTCGCTACGCCGCTACCTGACTCGTCTGGTGTATCATCCGTCGCAGCGTCTGGAGCAGCGAGGTACTGACAGTAACTAATAAATTGAGCGATGTCGTCGATGAAAGGACACGGCGCGGCAGGTAGATGCGCAACTGCAAGGAGTAGTTCGCAGTGCAATTGGATGTAAAGACACTCGGTGCGGCTCCACTCGCCCAGTGGAGCGCTCATGATGTGAGATGTCGCCGGATCTACACGGTGGTTGGCCATCGTGTGTTGACTCGTATTGCGAGATGTTAGGATACTGTTGGACAGATGATTAGAGAGTTCTTTGGAGAGGCGGTGCAGGCGTAGGGTGTGACCCGTCACTATCTGCCGCTAACTAGATCAAGAAACATTTCGGACTTTATGGACTCAATGAAATAATCTGTCTCTATCATTCACTATAAGAACAGCTACGGCACCATTTTTCATGACGTGATTCCATCCCTTCCGAACACCTTTAGGCCCCATCACCGGCAGGTAATGATTCTGCCGCCGATTTGTCTGCTATCTGCTTCCGATAGATCTCCACAATCTCGTCGTCGCTGAGGGGATCATGGCCATCATCATGTTCCTCGAAGAGAGCCCGTAGGTCAGCAATTGACGCAACTGCCTCGTAATTCAGCTCATCTTGTAGACGATACTGTAAGGCCTCCGCACGGTTGAAAGGACCAGCCCTGTCACGAGCGCCTTTATACTTGTCTTCGACACGCTTGTCCGTTAAGTTCTTCTTGACCCACCTGAGCACGTTTTGTTCGTCGACCAGGTGGCAATCTCCTAGATCACGTCTCATCTCAGCCAGTAACTTCTTCGCCCGACGTATCTCGGGATGCGCCTTGTAAAATTGCCGTTGGTACTCAGCCTTCACCTGAGCATCATCCCAGTAGTTCTCGTCAATCCATCGTTTGATAACGTCTACCGTGATATCCGGGAATTTGCCAATTTCTCTTCTGCATTTCCGATGTACCGAACGAGCGAGCGGACGGAACCGGTTATAGTCGGCGGCCTGGCCGCAATACTTTCTCTTGATCAGACATGTCGTTTCGCCTTTGTCCATGCATTCCTGCGTTGTTGTGACCTTCCATGGTGGCAGGTTTCCCAACTCGTTCCTTAGTTCTGTCGTCAATGCCTTGGCTGCGTCGCTCATGATTTCCCGTTAGACCGACTTCTTACTGTAAGATCTGGTCGTGCGCGCAGCTATTAAGCATGCTGGTGTTTGCTGTGATTAATCATTCGCAGCTTCTCCTACTTTCCACGTGAACCTACTCGCCTGATCCAGCAACCTCAGTGGAGCGATGTCGGAACCTCCCCAACACTTTTCCGGAATACATCTCAGCATGTGAAAAGAGACACTGAATAGAGAGGTAGCATTTCGTATCGAACAATTACGAGCTGTACGCCTTCCCATGCGCCACGTACCGAGTAGCGTGTCTTGCCCAACGCTTTGTCCCATTCCCCACACCGTCAGCTTCTCAGCCTGCGCTGACTGACACAGGCCAACAAAAAGATACCGAGAGAAACATGCGTCGCCCGACCGTATGTGAGATGGTGCAACGTGAACACCCACCCATTTCATGTTGCGCTATTCTGCCGCTCCATCAATACAAGAGACCAGTGTGATATGAGATCAGTCGTCCCGTACGTCTTGGTCAGTCTACAACGATATTAGTAAAGCCTGTTCTCGCTGGAGAGCTGGTAGACATACCGTATGAACCTTTGACCAGAGTTGGCCGGGCCGAACTGGCGCACTCTTCTTCGGCGGCGGCGGTGGTGGCAGCGGTCTCCGTGGTGGAGGCGGCACGTATGAGTCGTCATAGTCAAAGCCTTTCAGACCTGTCGGACCGTGTCCCAGTGAGCAAGGAGCTGGGCACAAGCATATCGGTGGCCTATCACAGTCGGTCAATTCAAGGAGCGTCAGAAACCAGTCGGATTCACACTTGCCGGTGCATAGGGCGCTGTTCTTCTAACAGCTCATAAGCCTCCATAGCAGGGTCGTATCCGTGAGTCTTGAAGCTTTCCTTCCGCAGGTAGTACTCATTGCTTAGGATATGTTCCCATTTCGATTTTGTGCAGGTCTTGATACAGCCTGCGAGCCGAACATTCGGGATGTGCTTGAGGTATGGAAAGGCGAAGATCAGCGCCCACTCGACCATGATCTTATGACACGGGTACTTCATTATAGTTGGCGGGCGATTGGGAAAAGAAAACCAAGGGTTTGAATAGGGAACGTATGGTGATCCAAATACGATTTCGAGGTTATTAAGGGTAGCGATTCCTTGCAGCAAGCGAGCTTTTGGTACAAGCGGCGGCAATCGAAGGACGGGGTGAATGTCAATCCCGAAAAATCGGAAGCATTCTTTTGTACTCATGGAGAGTTGGATATGAGTGAGCCAGCGATGGTTAGATGGGGCAATTGGTGCTTCCAGCACTTTCTCCAGCCAAAGTCCATCTGCAAAGTGCTTTGTTGTACCCTCCCACGCCGCTTTCAGGGCCTCATTGTAGATCTGTTTGCTGGCTCGAAGGATGGCATAGTTGGGTGGATCTGGCCGGGAAGCCGGTGGGACTTCAGGCCAATGAGATACAGGCATATTCCCGCTCTTGGCTCCCAGAAATACTACAGGTCCTGACACATTCGGATTTTCTCTGGCAACAGGATAGATATTGCCACCCAAGATTTGCCGGAGAATCTCGCAGCGTATTTCGGCTGGCAACGTCATGATGAGGAAGTTCTGACCGTTCGAAGCCCACCATCCCCGCTGGAGCTGCCACCCAGCTTCACCCAGACGATTGCTACTATTGACCAGCGAGAGAAGCCATGTCTTTAGCGGCATGCCGCGTTTGGGTCCGTTCATGTCATCTTTCTCGCGTACCAGAATGGTATCCGCGGTCAAAACGCGACAGCCTCTAGATAGTGTTGTCTCAACTGCCATCGGAAACTCTTGATCCTTCTCCTTGAAAGCGTACAGCTTAGTCGAGTACTCCTCTAAATGGCGGGGCCATAGGGGAGGGCTCATCGTCAAGTGTGACACTTCCAGACCAATGCGCCAAAAGAGCATGTATTGCTTGTTCAGCTCGATGATCGTCTTCTTTATGACTTTGAGCATTTGATCATTCTTCTGCGGTGGCAATACCCTCATTTTCCACTTGTATTGCTCCGATGTAAGGTACAACTTTGATGACGGAGGGGGCAATAGGCAGACCGAGAACATGCGACTCGGGTCATCGCGGAGTCGGTAGATGCGACCGATGAGTTTGTCGTCGAAGTACTCATCGCAGCCGTACATCTGGTCGAGGAAGCGAATCGCGACGTACTAGGAAATGTGGTGTGCGGCGGGCTGCTGGACTTGAACAGAGCGTAGGCGGATTAGTCGTCTGTCATACAAGCGGTTGCGCGTTAAGAATGGGCCTCTCAAATACTCGTGTACCAGAAGAGGGGGAACAAGAAAATACGATCGAGGAGTTGGCTATTTGACAAGGGCAAGATAAGCGCCAGGCATTAATTACGAGATGGTGTATATACGAAAGACCGCACTGACCTCCCCGGTCACAATGAAGGTAACGAGCAGCCTAACATTCATCCAGATATGGGCAAGCACCGCACTACATTGGCCGTATAGCTGATAAGATAGCGTCCGTTGCGGCCGTAAATCGCGAGATGTGATCGGTGTAGCAATGATGGCACATGATATTGGACGTTTCGAGTCTATGATGGTCGACGTCGAGACTGTGTTGGGATTGGAACTGCGTACGACCCTCCTCTTTATCACGAAGGCCCTCCGAGTTTATTGTTTGACGAGACGTCGCAAGCAACAAGTACTTGCGAAAGTATGCTCAGCGTGGTCAATATGACGCCTATTGTTGATATTAATCTCGACCATGATAGTCCTGGTGGTAAACCATGCAGCAACTCACTCCCGTCCCATCACCCAGAGCCTCCCACGTCACAGCTCAACCTGCGCGTCCAGACTGTGTCATTTCTCATTCTGCGCTGCTGTTTTGAGCTCTTATGCTGAACGTAATGCGCTGCGTTGGATGTTGTCGACGCAAATCGAGGAGGCATGCGATTGCTCCATGTGGGCGGAGTTGTGGTAGCGAAGACCACGCCCAGGCATCGCCACCAAATGCCCAGTCTGTGGGAGAGATTAGTCTGCATACTCGTACAATGAGGTCGATTGAGCGTTTGACAGGCATAGTAGTAGTTTTGTCTGGTACCGGCGGTCTAGTAAATGCAGAACTTTTCCGATACGCTGCCTTTCTCTTCCCATTCTCTATGAATGCGACCCTCGTTGATGTCGTAAACATAGCATTCTCCCACAAGTCTCCAAAGGCCATCGCTCGCAGGTCTGAGGACGAAAGGTATAGCAGAGCCGTGTAGTACGACGACAACATCGCCTGGGAGTATATTATCGGGCCCTTGACCTAGCATTTCTGTGTTGGTGATGAAAAGGGTGTGACCATCATTATCACGCCGGCATGTTTCGAAGAAATTATCGGCATTTGGTGTGAATGAAGAGCGTTGATCATCTTGATTCGATCCTGCTGGTACAGGCCGGTACATGTCTTGCGTAAAATCTCTGTTCATAAACGCGTGGTAATTGTCCAGAAGGTTTTCCATGCGATAAGAGGGCAGCGGTAGATACTTAGACTGATTTCCAAATGTACAGGCAATGCATGGCTCTCTGTATACATGAGCCAAGGAGCGTAGCAAGGCTTGTAGGCGTACAGGTCCGCAAGAGTCATCCTTAATGTCTGTCATGTCCGCATGTTCGTCGACCGTCCGGAGTACAGTATCGACTCTGAGACCTGCGATATTGATACAGTGGTTCCCACTCCTCATGGTGTCCGATATATCAGTGAGGTTCGATTTTTCCTTAATTCGGTCAAAGCCTGCGAGATCTTGAAACATGTGCTTTCCTGACGGCTTCCAGTCTGGCACCCACGATGGCCAATCTTGGGTTGGTCCAGGTTTATGTCCGGCCCAGGAAAGCACTCTGAGATCGTGCCACTCACAAAGTAGCTTAGCTGCCACTCTGCGATCGCATTCCAGAATATCGATGTTGTAATCGGGATCAACGAGTAGTTGACCCTTTGTAGAGTCACATTCGAGTGTCTCTAGTCCGAGTAGACCATAGATTCTATCTTTTGGCTCACTAAAAGTAAAGAACCTGGTCATGTAGCTCAGGGTGAACCAAGATTGCCGATAATAACCGATACGATGTGACATGCGCAGGTCAAAGAGGTGTCGAAAACTCAGCGTCGCACGTGTTAACCTGTGGAAACGGAGGCTCATGCAAACGCTAGACACAACGTTCAGCCGCCGTAAGTCGATTTCAGCGTGCCCCCAGAATACCGACACTGAGGTGCCTAATGCCACCTCCTGGATAACCCATCCTCGTCTAAACCAGGGTGAGGAGCACATATGCCGCAAAGCGTCAGTCGCAGCATCAGCGATCTCCGCTGGTTCATCTCCGCTGACGCTGGTCACTGCGACACCACGCCATTGGTATAGCTCCGAACTCTTGTAGTATGCATTGTCTTCTATGTCTCCCCATTTGCCATGGGGATCTTCTTTGCCCGCAAACTGGCACATGACGTTTAGGGAATCTTGGACTACGTGATCGTCTTCATGTTGCAACCATACAAGCACGCGAGCAGCTCTTCTGTAGATGAAGCTCATCAACCGGACCTGGTAGGTTTTCTCGTCGTGATCGGTTTGATTTATGCAGAGCGCATCGGCCCAGAGCGTTCTCGTATTATCGACTCTTCGAAAGCGCTGCAAGGCCTCGAACAGGTTGCGTGTTGTGCTAACGGCGCATCCATTACACATGACAGTCTTGCGATCAGCAGGGTCGCCCCAGGCATAGGAGATTGCTTCGTAGTGGAGTTCGTCGGCATCTAGATCAACCGTCCTTAAAGAGCAAGTGACAGGCTCATCCCAGCTGCCAGGATCCAGGTCGAGGACTCGAATGTGGCGATCTTGTGTTATGCGGTCGTACTGAAGCGTGCCAAGGGTCGTGGAGGGGCTCCCAGCATCGAGCAGTTCCTCTGAGTGCTTGTCCGGAGGAGTCGGGGAAACAGCGACATCGTCCATGGCTATGTGGGAAAGCTGTGTCGAAATGCGATATCGATCGAATTGAGATTGTTTGTAGTTGGTGAAAGTCTAGACGAAAGTTGGTGAGATCGAATTAGGCAGAGACACCATGATAAGGGAGGCGACGTGCTGCGCCGCACAAACCCCGCATCCACTCAGCTACGTCAACACGCTGGCGGGGCCTTGATCTTATATCAAAGCACCGCTATTCAGCATGACCTCCTCCTTCCGCCGTCGAGCCTCAAGCTTCTTTTCTCTCTGCACAAGGTATGCCTCCTTCGCCAGCCTTCGCTCCTCTTTCTTGACTTTGTATTCCGCCTGGAGCCGCTCATTGTCCTGTTCTTTCTTCTTTTCCGCCTTGATCGCATGCTTGATCTTCTTGTGTTCGACTGACGTTATGCGCCATGGACGCGACAAGACTGCCTGCTTGAAGGCAGCGGTCTCAGCCCAAGCCTGTGCTTCTTCGTTGGTCGTTTTGACAACCGATATGCGCTGCAAGTCCAGCTGCTTTGCGCCTCTGAACTCCGATATGAGGCATTTGGCCTTGACGATTGTGCCGATGTCTAGGGCTTCGCCGTCTACTACCACGTCGAAGATGCCGAATCTACTGACGATGTTCAGGTTGCTGATCTTCGTGTCCGAAGAAGTATCGACGGGGTTGTGCTCGACGGGAGGTAGTCGTACGATCTTCAGCTCGATGGTCGCGCCGCTTCCGTCGTCGATGGTAAGGGCCGTGTATTTGAGATTGATGTCATCAATTGCTACTACGACGCCGACGATTCGGACATAACGGATAGGGTGATTGAGATGGAAATAAATGCGCTGGGCTGTTCACGTGTCAGCAATAGTTATAGCACTCGTTCGAAATGCTGCTACCTTGGAAGTCCTTCTCAGACCGAAGAGCTTGCACATCTGCAGCAGTGAGCTTCACCCAGATATTGTATGTAGGTGATGCTCTGAAACAATAGGCGGGGTATAGCCGATAGGGACGCGGTGGCGGATCCGTTGACATGTCATATTGTGTTGCTGGTGCACAAGGTGGGATGAGAACCAAGAAACGCGACGCGTCCCATCGCCACTGCTCTGCGCTGTCACGTGGCCTGCGACGCCAAGCTGACTAACCCAATCCTCTCGCATCGGAAGATCGGCGCTTTGCGTTCACTATCTGCATGCACCTCACCACGCGATGCCATCCGATGCAGCCGCTCCCAAGAACTGTGGCTTGATCGCATTGCAGGGAACAATCAAGGCCTTCACTCTAGCAAACTGTATCTCTAACCCTCCGCCCCGCTGCCAGCAAATGCATCGTATACAGGATGGGCAGCAAGCATGCTACCAGGTCCACCCGGCCACCTGTAGCCCCATCACACCTCAACACCGCCGTTTTGCCATCATGCCTGACAATGGTCTATCGCAAAAAGCAGCCAAGTGGGACCACTTTACCGCGAACTAGACCTCGGTGCCGTCGAGGCTACCAATAGTGCGACTCCCCGCTAAGCCGGCATGAAGCTGTCCATGACGAGCTAGCCCAACCTGCAGCAAGCTTGGAGCTATTCCCAGCTCTCGATTGAGAGCTTCCAAGGTATTCCGGTCAGACTTAAGGGCAGGGTAGCAGCCCGGTATGCGCCCGACGACTGCTGATTTTGATCTCTCATCTTTTCGAGGCTGTGCCTTTTCGTCGCATACTAACCCCGCAGCATTTTCTACGATTTCTAGACGTTCGTTGTCGCAGACTTTCGTTCTACTACCCGGCTTCTTCTTCTGACAGCCTCGGCGACTTTCAACGCGATGAGATCATTTGCGCCATGGAGCCTCGTCGCTGCGACATTGACATTATGTGTCGCGGAGCCGATCGCAAAGCCCGAGGCTATACCACAGCAAATCTCGAACAATGCGCCGTTCTCTGGCGCTGTTTACATAGTAAACCCAGACGGACAGCAAGTCGTAGCGCAAGATACCAATTTTTGTCCTTCGTCAGCCTCAGTAAGCTGCAGCAATGTCAACCAACCGAGTTGGTGAGTAGGAACTTTGAGAGACGGCATGGCTCTTGCTTATCAAACCCAGGTGCTGTCCATCAGGCTACACATGCGCCGTGCCTGGCAACTCGAACGGACTGATCGGCTGCTGCCCAAGCGGAAACCAATGCGGAGGCGCAGTAAACGTCGCACAAGTCACGACTGTAACCGTATACCCCCAGCAGCAAACAGCTGTCGTGTACGCTCAACCACCTCCTCAAACGACCGTATACCACAACCCAGACCAGGTACAAGGCGGCTTCTGCGCTACAATCACAATGGATGGGCCCGATCTACCGAGAGCGGAGCAAGGAGGATGCGGCACGATATTGATCGTTGCAGGAGCACCGAGTCTGCAAGTACTGGGCGTAGGTGCCGGCGCAGTTGCGCTGTTCCTGCATCTAGCGCTCGGCAGAATGTTCAATGGCGCGTTATGAGAGACGTTAGATATTGTAATGACTTTACGAATTACGAGTTTACGCAGTACGATATTGTACGCGGCGCTAGATTACTCAGTACATAACCATAAAACTACTGGTTTCCCCTCTTCGCATCCTCCTCGTCGTTCTTTGGTACACCGACGAACTTGGGCACGGTGACAGCGTTCAAGTGACGGAAAGCCTGAAACTGAAGTTAGCATACGATCCAGATACCAGTGCTACAATAGTTGCGTAGGTGACTTACGTTCGCAATACTGCTATCCGGCAACTTGCCATCCCACTTATCCTCGACCTTCTTAATCTTGCCCTGCTCATCCAAATGAATAGCAACAACACTCTGAATCAACTGCTCCTTGTTCAATCCCTTGATAACATATCTCGTCCTCAAATCCATAAGAATCGGGTTCCCAGCATCCTTAACCTGGTGGTTGAGCCTCTCAATCTCGCTAAACGCACTCTGCAGTCCGTACCATTGCGCGGAGTACTTCTCGCGGCCCTCGGCGATGGTAATGGGGTCCGTGAAGGTGGCGTCGTCACGCCAGAGTTGCAGTTTGGGGAGCGAGGGGCGGCCCGCGAAGAGGTCGAGGACGGAGCCTACGATGGTGTTTTGTTGCTCTGAGAGGGTGACGCCGGGGGCGGTTTGGACGTTCTTCGTCTCGATCTTGAGGTTTGAGGGGTTTGTTGACATTTTGGCGGTTGTGATTCTTGATACCTGGGAGGAGAAGGTTGGTTTGGTGAAAGTACGTAGTGTGTGGTTGTACGTTTGTGTTGCGAATGGGCGGAGGTAAGATGTCATTGTAAGAAGTCTTGAGAGAGGGTATTGGATGGACGGGTTATTATAGGTAAATGTATTCGGTGGCTATGTACTTGCCCACGGGGCGTTTTGTTATTCTAGACTTTATCCAATTGCATTATTTTGGCACGCGTCATCATGAGAAAGGTGGTACAAAACGGTCAGGGTTACGCAATTCGTGTGGTGATCGATGGAGGTGATGGCATTTTGGTCGATGCGAATAAGTCATGACGCAATGGTGGTCCTAGGTGAGATTCGCGGGCGATCCCTTCGCGCGTCGGGGGTCGAGGTACGCGAGCCTTTACCTAGGTAGCGGGGTAGGGGCTAGGTTGTCCCGAGAGCCGGTTGTGAACGTAGACGTAGATGTTGAACTAGATTTATATTCTGCTTGATAGTCAAGAACCATTTCAGCAGAGGAGATGGTTGGTGTTGCGGGCTGCTTGGCACGATCCGAATCGGGTAATTTATCGAAAACCGGCGATTGCTGGTGCCTGGACTATTACCACGAGCCGTCTGAACTTCCTACCAACCTTCGAAGTGGTCGACGTCTCCTCTAGGGCTTCTGCTGATGAAGTGTTCAGGAGTGCGCATGAGCTATCTAATTATTAGAGCGTACAGCACAGCAGAAACAACGATCTATGCTGTTGGTCTCAATTACGAACCGCCCGGGCGACTGCGGGGTCTTCAAGGCGTCAAGAACAGCTAACGTCGCCTAGCCATCACATGAAAGGTCTCTCATAGATGAGATATCTCATGCGATATCTCTATGGGCCGCGACTTCGTTCGCCTGTATACTAAAGCTCCTCTGTGCTTGTCACCGGGATGGATACGTCGGGTCATTGTTGACAGGGATACTCAGCCGCACAATTCAAGGGATAGGAAACCTTCGTCCCAATAACATTTGGCCCGACAGGTCGTGCAACATTTGGCGAAAGGTAGTCTCTCTCTAGAAAGACTTATGAAATGGGCAACTACCCAGGCGCGCAAAGTCGGTGAGAATGGTATAGGCTGGTGAGGCACCAAAACTGTCCGCCAGCGTGCACTTTCATATTCGTTTATCTTGAGTTTCTACTGATTGCACGTCTTATCACCACGTCTGTTCGTTGTTCGTTTCTTACCCATTTTCTACCTATTTCTGTTAGGGATCCTACTCCTGTGGACAAAGAGAAACATGACATTACTTCTCAGACGAGCACCTGAAGTCGCCGGCGGGCGTGCGATAGCCACAAATCTTGAAAGTCGACAAATCTCGGCACAAATTGGACTGCAAAACGGCAGGACCAGCGCGCTGGATTCACCCGTTACCTCGAGGCCGCAAAGCTGGATTGATCAGACTTCGGGACAGATCGCTCCGTTTGACGACGTGCCAATTACCTCAAGCCAGGGAACGGCTGCGGACCCGTCATCACCAAAGACAGTCACAAAGCGAGAAAGCCGATTTGCATCTCTGTTCATTGCACTGCTGGCTGTCAGTCCTATGGCTATCGAATACGACGCGGCGGATCAGCAGACTATGGAGGCAGCACAGAACGCATCTGTAAGCGCGATACAACCGGAATCTCCCAAGAATACAGCAACCCCGCCAGGAAGGAGGGTTAAGCGATCAGAGATTCGCAAGACCAAATGGAGGCGATTCAAGTATGAAATGAAACTGAAGATGAAGATGAAGGGCACAGCGAACGGGAAGGATCGGTGGAAATGGACAGAGGCGGACGACATGGAATTGGAGGTTTTAAGGTCAGAAGAGCGAAA